AAGGATCATTTAACATAAAGGAAGAAAAGAGAGGGGTCACCTATATCATCTACAATGGAGGCTTATTTACAGCAGGTAAGGAAGATGTCTGATCCTCCTCTAACATACAGTAATATGGATGCCATGGGTCAAAAAATAGGATTTAAACATTTTTGAATCACTCTGCTGCAATTACCTAAATAGATACCAAACTGTGAGGGTGTTGCATTCTCATTACTAATGACAAAACCAAATAACCCTATAGTATCTCAGAGAATTGGGAAACTGAGCCCTGTAGATATTCAGTGACTTCCACAAGCTCCCACAAAGCTTCTGGTAGGATTTCTAATCCTAAGTATCTATTTGTCACTGTAAACTCAGAAGCAGTTATTCTACAAACATTTATCAAGCACATACTATATTTCAGAAAGTGTGTTTAGCAAAACAGATATGGTCCCTTCTGCCTTCATGGTTTTGTACTACATTTTTTGGCACATGCAACTGGAGTGAATCATTGTGGAAGACTAGTTTCTTGCAGAAGATACACATCAAAGATTAGACTTCATCACTTGGGAAGCAGAGGCAGGATTTCTGTGAGTTTGAGTACATCTTGGTCTACATTGCAAATTCCAGGCCAGTTAGGGCACAACACAATGAGACCCTGTTTCAAAAAGAAGCAGAGGAGGCGGGGCGGGGGGGGGAGAGGAGGAGTAGGAAAGGGAGAAAGAGAAGGAGGGTGGGAGGAAGGGAGAGGAGGAAAAGGAAGGGGAGGTGGAGGATGAGGGTGGGAGAAGGAAGAGGAGGAGGAGAAAAGACTTTCATATCTCCTAAGATGATTTTTTTCAGATAATTTCTTTTTCCTTTTTCCTTTACTATTCTCTCAGAATGCTCTTCCATCAGTTAAGTCTGCCCATACCCTAACATGTGTCCTTCTCATGTCAGTGACTTCTCAGTATTAGTTATAAGACTTATTCTTTTTGTAAAGTTTATTCTGTGTGTTTCTACGATTAAACTCTTGCACTGCGTATTCATCCAAAATGTACATATTTCAGGTCTATAGTTTGAAGTTTTGACATATGTATATCACTTCATGTAATTACTTTGTGTGTGTGTGTGAACTTTCAGAAAAATCACAAATATGAAATAGAATGCCAAGCTGTGCATTAGAGCTCCCAAACTTAATTATTTTGTGACAGACAGTTTATCCCCTTTGGCAAAAAACCTCCTGTTTCCCTCAACCCCTATCCCCTGGAAACCATTGCTCTACTCTGTTTTTTTAATCCAATTAATTTATCAGATTCCACTTCTAAATGGAGTAATACATTATTTTTATTTCTGAATCTGGATCATTTCACTTAGCACGATGCCTTCAATATTCATCCATTTTATTGCAATGATACAATTTTTTCATATTATTCTTGAGTAACATCCCATTACATATGTACACCATTTTCTTTACCTATGAACCCATCAATAGACATTTAGATTATTTCCATGTACTAGCTCTTCTGCATCTTGCTGCATTGAACAACATAGCAGGGCAAATATTTCTTTGACATACAGATTTCCTTTTGTTTGTATATGTACCCAGTGCTACAATTGCTGAATCATATGGTTGTTCTGTTTTTAATTTTTTTAGTTACCTTCATGCTGTTTTCTACAATGGCAATATCAGTTTATATTCCAACTATGTTTATCTTTGTTAGACATTTTTTAAATCAATGGCCACCATAACAAATATTTGACAATATATTATTGTGGTCATTCTTTGTGTGTGGGTGCTACCACTGAGCTGTACTACCAGCCTTCACTGTGAATTTCATTTTCATTTCTCTAATGATCTGTGATGTTGAACACATTCTCCTATGTCTGCCAGCCATTTATATGTCTGTAAAAATATTTATCCAGATGCACGCTGTTTGTGTACATAGCTGTGCTCATATATAAGTCTATTCTTAATTGAAGCATTCAAGCCCTGACCATCAATCATCTCTAGACCTCTGGTTCTGAATGCAGTCTTCACCACAAACATCGACTGATCACTTCATTGTCTCATTCCTTATTTTGCAGCTGTGCTAATGGTTTTTTCCCTGATATCTGTCACCTATGGCGCTACCCTCTGCAATATGTTGGCAATCCAGATCAAGTACGATGACTACAAGATTCGACTTGGGCCACTGGAAGTACTTTGTATCACCATCTGGAGGACATTGGAGATCACTTCTCGCCTAATGATTCTGGTGCTCTTCTCAGCCACCTTGAAGTTGAAGGCTGTGCCCTTCTTAGTGCTCAACTTCTTGATCATCCTCTTTGAGCCCTGGGTTAAGTTCTGGAGGAGTGGTGCCCAAATGCCAAACAATATTGAGAAAAATTTCAGCCGGGTTGGCACTTTGGTGGTACTGATTTCTGTCACCATCCTCTACGCTGGCATCAACTTCTCTTGCTGGTCAGCCATGCAGTTGAAGTTGGCAGACAGAGACCTTGTTGACAAAGGTCAGAACTGGGGACATATGGGACTGCACTACAGTGTGAGATTGGTAGAAAATGTGGTCATGGTTTTGGTTTTTAAGTTCCTCGGTGTCAAAGTGTTACTGAATTACTGCCATTCCTTGATTGCTGTGCAGCTTATCATTGCTTATCTGATTTCCATTGGATTCATGCTCCTTTTCTTCCAGTACCTGCACCCATTGCGCTCACTCTTCACTCATAATGTAGTAGACTACCTCCATTGTGTCTGCTGCCGCAGACACCATCGGGAAAGGGCTGAGAATGAAGAGCCATCACTCGAGGCTGAAACAAGACAAAGTATTGTCTGATTTGTTTTCTCCTGAACAGTATAGGGTAGGTTTGGGGTTGACATGAGCAACTGTGAAGTTAAAGGAGAGGGTGAGACTCCTGTGTGTGTATACTCACGGGATCTTTTTTTTTTTTTTTTTACTCTTCTAGTAAGCCTATCAAAAGAAAGAGTGACCTCCAAATAGGTTTTACTTCTTTATGATTGACTGCTATGTTTGAGTACCAGCGCTAGTCACAGTTTATTTAGTTCATCTTCCTCCTAGTCAAGTCAGTTGGGATAATTTCTGGGTACCTCATTCAGGCTCTAGATTTCCAATTTTGCTCATTTGTTTGATTTATTATCGAGTTTCCCTAGGCTGATCTGAACTCTACCACAACACATCTGGACTGACCAGAAGGATGTGACAGCTTACTAGCAATGAGCACCTCCCAGAAAATAGTCTTGACTCTTGTGGTACCTGTACCTGTGAGAGTGGCTGGAATATTTTGATTCAGTGAGAAACTGGGGCTAAGAAGGCCCTGTTAGTAAAGAAAGCTATTCCCCCCGATGAGTTAGCACTCCATTAGGATTTTACTAGTGTTCATTTAGCAAAGACTTCTCTTTTTAGAAGCCTTTATGGGCATCCCTTCACAGAAACATGTGCAGAATAGGATTCCTTCAGGGAATAAATCAGGATGGCGTATTATCTCAAGGCAGGATCTCATGTATCTCAGGCTGGGCTCAAAGTTACTGCGTAGCTAAGAACTATGTAGCTTTAACTCCCCGATCTTTCTGCTTTTACCTTCTGAGTGCTGGGACTATAGATGTGTGCCACTGCATCTGATTTATATGGTGCTGGGGACTGAACCCAGGCCTAGGCAAGCACCATTCATGCAGTGCTGAGTGTTGGACCCTGGGTCAGATAAGCGCGTCACCAACTGAGACATCCCTGGTCCCAAGAATGACTCTTAAGGAACTATGTAGGCCTCCAGCTCCATGAATTTTCTCACCTGGTGCCCCATTATTAGGGATTCCTCCAATACAGCTTTTCTGTCTTTGTGTTTTGTTACTTGATGTAAACATCGGAGACGCTAAACTGTAACTGGAAGTGTTTTTTGAAATGTAAAAGGAATGAAGATTTCTTTTGTCTGCTACTGTCCTGAGTATTTTATTGATTCTTGTTTAGGGGGATATAGTAATATGACAGCACCTTCATGCTGTTTTGTATTGGGCTGGGCAAAGTACAGGTAGAAAAGAGAAACTGATCACATGAGATTATCAACACTGCTTTCTCCATGCAGGATTTTACTTGCTAATGAGGAATGTAGATTGCTTTGTTTTCAATCTTCTTTTCATTAACAAACCCCAATTGCCAAATATACATGTATTCTAATGTATCATCATGCTCATATCTCATACCAGTTGGATATTTTGGTGGGCTTAGAAGGTAACCAAACGCTTGATGTTCTGGTAGAACTGCCTACTAGAAAACCCAGCATCATCTAACAAATTATTGTCCCTTACAGACCAGGAAAGTAAGATGAACTCTTAAAAGGACATACTAGCTGAGGAGCCATTGACAATGGTGGCTGCTTGGCGAAGGAGATCAGTTTTCTTCATGGATGCAGCCCCCTGAGAGGCTTCTAATGTTCCAGGAGATGCTCCTACACCCATGCATATACTGGAAACACTAAGTGGACTCAGTGGGCCCTAAGGAAAATAGAGAAAGTACACAGATTTGAAAGGGAATAGTGGTGAGTGAGTGTAGGGGAAGAAAAAGGAATGGAGGGAGAATGAGGGATGGGTTAGATTGATAACTTACTTCTAAAAACATTAAAGTTACCATTTTTCAAGAACTTGTAAGCATTCTTATGTAAGGTCTTCTACCACTGTCCAGTTTTCCTTTTACCAAAAATTTGTTTTTACCCCATTCTCCCTGCTTACTCTTACATTGGGGGAGCTCCCTCTTCTAAGTAGTGAGCTATTAAGCAGAATTATCCTATTATTTACCAACTTCAACTGCCTTGGGGAACTAAAAAGTTTGGCTGTTTAATTTAAGAGAAGAATATAGTAATTCCAATACAGCATCTTTCTCTTACAGCCTCAACTTCTTCATACCATTTTGTCATGACAGAATCTTGGGTTGTCATATGAGACTAACATGGACTTCTGACAGTTATTTAGGAGAATGTGAAGGACAATATTAAACTCCAAAGGAACACTGCCTCTTCAGATCCCAAGCAAGAATTTCTGCCTAGTGACTACTGTGCCCTTGGTTAAAAGCAGGAACAGTATTTGGAACAATTTGATGCAATTTGGTGTGAATCAGTTTCTTAAGGGGAGAAACTATGGGGAAAGAGAGACATAGGATAGAAAAGAGTGCCTCAATGCCAAATCAGGCAAACATTTCCCCCGTGTTTCCTTCCAGCCACGGTGACTTAATAACCTAGGAATGAAGAGAGTTTAGGGACGACGGGTGTGGAGTAGCTAGCTTCTAACCTGAAAAACCTGCTGCCCTCACCCGAAGGGTTTAAGAGAGAAGAGTTTAAGGGAGAAGAGTTGTGATTGACACATTATGCAAATGAACCCTTAGATGATCCTCTGTGGTAGTCTTTTTGTTACATGGCCATCTTCCAGGCATACACAGAGAAAGTGTGGAGTATGAAAGGGTGGACAGAGGAAGTAGCCACTTAGGTTTGCAAACACATCTGTAAGTACTCTCTTTTCACCATATGAACTTTTCTCAGTACTGGGGCTTACACTCAGTGCCTTGCACCTGTTAGGTATGTGCTACACCACTAAGCTATATACCAATTCCTTTTTAATTTTTTTCCTGAAGTAGAGTCTTGGTAAGTTGCCCAGGCTGGTCTTGAACTCACTGTGTAGCCTAGGTAGACCTTGAATGTGCATCCCTCCTGTCTCAGCCTCCCTAGTAGCTAGAGTTAACAGACCTGCGCCACCAGGCCCAAATATATCCTCTGAAACGTTAAAGCAACACAGGGTATAGTATATGAACAAGTCTTGCTGAGTGAAAGAGGAGATCCAGATTAGGCTAGCAAAGGGTTTCTGGGAAAGGAAGACTGAACAATGAGGTTTGGATGAAAGAACTACTAAAGTAAGAGTTTCTTCCTAGTAGTCAACATGTTCTCAACAATTTTTCTCATACTACTGATAATTTTGATGGGCAAGTCAGCATAGAGGAAGGTATAGTAAATAAATTATAGTTGTTATTTTCATTTGTTCCACAAATATTTTAAAGACCATGGACACAGAACTGTGAGTTACTGTGAAAAATTGAAATAATAGCTTATATTTATGAACACAGTATTACCAAGTGCTTTAATTAGATATATGGTCTCACTTTGTAGCCCTGAATGGCCTAGAATTAACTATGTAGACCAGGCTGGCCTTGAACTCACAGAGATCCACGTGCCTCTGCCTCCCTTACTAGGTTACTTGGGTTAAAGGTGTATACCACAACACTCGGCCCATGAGATTTATATATATTCTATTAATATTTTTAAGTTCAGTCCTTACAATTATGGTAGGGTATTTGCTATTATACCAAGCCTACTTTACAAGTAGAGTTTCAGGCATAGCAAGACTAAATGATACACTCAAGGCTGAAGCCAGTGTTGAAGCCAGGGTTCAATCAAGACCTAATCCTCTGTGTCCTAAGTGTTTGTGAAATTATCTTAGTGACTGCAGGATTCCTTTTCTAAAATATAGCTAGGTTCATTCCAAACATTCTTTTCTCCAAACATTTCTGATCAGAAGACAACACTCAATTCCATCTCCAAAGAGAAGTTCTAAAGAACCTGAGATGAAAACTGAGTGTGTGTTCACAGGTACCCACAGTGTGGTACAAAGGTTTGGGAGGATGGCTGCTAAGTGTCCCTTTCTAGTTTCCAAGCTTTGTCTCATTTGTGGGTTTTATTTGTTTGTCTGGATTTTTTCTTGAGGTGGGTTCTTGCTCTGTATTCTAAGTTGGCCTTGATCTGACTATGTAGCCCAGGTTAATCTTAAATTCCCGATCATCCTGCCACTGTCTCACAAGGGCCACAATTATAGGCTATGAAGTGTGGGAGCAGGGAGCATGCTGGGAATCTATTTATGTATTATGTATGTGTATGTACATGTGCCACAGTGCACCTGTGGAGGTCTGGGGGCAACTTTGGGGACTCAGTTCTTTCCTTTAACCATGGGTTCCAGATATAAAACTTGAGTCATCAGGCTTGTACAACAAATGCTTTTATTTGTTGAGCTATTTCCCTAGCCCAATACTATAACACTTCATACTGTGGTCTCAATTTTCCTGTGAACCTAAAAATATAAAGAACCTAAAAATGTAAAGTCCTTTAAAAATCCTGGATCACAATATTGAGAGCAACAGTCAGCTGTGATAGTAGGACAAACACAACAGCCTTGGCTCTAAAATGATCACTTTAAATATGTCTTTAGAAAACTAATCCCATATATTAAACTATATGCTAAATAATCCTAAAAGGTGCCATGCTTTGGTTCTTAGCACATTAACCAGCTTTGATTCTAACTTAGCATCGTTATTTGAGTTGGCTTTGCCATCCTTTGGGTTTTTTTCTCCAGTAAATTAAAAAAAAACTTTGCACATATTGTTCTTATGAAACCTTTCCTTCTTTCTCATCCTCCTTTGTTCCTCTTTCCCCACTCCCATGTTTTGCATTCTGAGAATCATACTTGAGCAATGGTTCCATTTTGTAAAGAATGACAAGAATGTGGTGGAATGAGTTGTTACAAACTCTTTTTCCTCAATTCTTATTTTGCAAAATGGGGGAGATTATTGGAGATTACCCCTTTTATTAACTAGTTTGGAATATTTGGATTTTATAATACCTACATGATATTTATAATTAGAAGAGCATCTTACTTATATTTTTGGTTGTGATCCTAGCCGTTAACAGCTTAGCTATCCCTCCAGCCTGAGAGCATACTACTTAAAAAGTAAAAAAAAAATGACCTAGAAATAGATGATAAATTATGATAGGCATCTTCAAAGGAAAAGGGCTGTCATCTGCTGAGTCTTTACTGGATATCAAGGACCTTATTGGATTGTTTTTAGACTTCCATTGTATTATTACAGTACTCTTATGAGGTAGCTGTTCTCTATCTATGACTTGTCTAAAGTCCACAGTTTCTGCTTCAATCTTTTTGATCCCAAGATTCAAGTTCTTCCTGTTCTACCTCACTGTCTCTCATAGATGGCAACTGTCATGATCTGCACTTCATAGCACTGAAGGCAGTGAGCATTTTGTACTCATCTTTAGATCATATACCATGTAGAAAAGAACAGACAACAGGTCTCTTTAATAATTACATGCAGGGGCCCTGATCTGGACTGAATTTACTGCAGCCATCTTGGTTTTAGCTGTCATCTTACAAGATGACTCTGGTGTAAATTGAAATCCTGATACAATAAAAAAAAGCAATTAAGATAGAGCATATTGGAGGTGGGAGGTGGTGATGCATTCCTTTAATCTCAGCACTCAAGAGGCAGAGGCAGGGGAATCTCTGAGTTCGAGACCCGCCTGGTCTACAAGAGCTAATTCAAGGACAGCCTCCAAAGCCACAGAGAAACCCTGTTTCAAAAAACAAACAAACAAAATGATAGAGTATTCCTGCCCTCCAATGAATTGTTTATTAATGGATGCTTGGCATGCTTGTAGTTTCTAAGAAAGCTCAACATAATTTTCAGTTGCCTATGGTCCACTGTAGGGATCAAGTGAAATCCTAAGTGAATGTGTGCTATTGACATGGCCATGTCAAGACCTGTCACAAAGCCTTAGCCACATGGAAATGGCAAATCTTTCCCTGGGTGAGGCTCAGCGGAAAGGCAAAGCCTTCTAATCTGTGTGCAGATGCTGATAGTGTGTGCAGAAAACGTTCACCCTAGCTTCCTTCCTCCAGATGTTTATGGACCAAAGACTACTCCCCGACAGGGCCTGCTCCTACTGAGATTAGCTAAACCTGCCCCTTTGACTCATCTGTATACCATAAGTCCTGCCTTCTTGATACAGCTGTATGCAGAACGCTGCTTTTCTGTTCAACTGTATATAACAAATACGCTGAGCTTCTGGATGAGACGGATTTTGGCTTCTCCATCACAGATCCCAGTCCAC